GATCAATTTGTACCAATCAAAATTAAACTAAATGTGATATTTCAAAAATGATTATCACAAATTTCAACCAATAAAATTGCTCGAAAGTTAAATGTCTATTATGCTAATTACCAATAGATAGTATGAAAATGAAGGAGAAACCCATTTTGCTTAACCATGTGAGAAAACAACTAGATCACCTGCCGATTATCTGTAATACTATTCAAAAACAATTACAAATTAAGCAGCAAAAACAGAAAGATCATTATGATAAGAAATTGAAAAGGCTAAATTTGTATCACATTAGAAATAAGGTTTTATACTTTGAAGCAGCCAAGGATAAAATGCACACTGGAAAATTAAACCCAAAATAGAAAGGGCCTTACTATATACATAATATAATTGGAAACGATGCCTACAAAATAAGGCAATAGATGGAAGATTATTAAAAGCACCTGTAAACAGAAATCTTTTAAAAAAGTATAAAAGTAGAGATGATAAAACTTTTGCCTGACAAAACATCATGAGTTCATATACACAAATTTGGAAGATCTTCATCAAAAAGAACTCTTAAACCTAACAATAATGTTACCTTTTCATTAATAAAGTGATGCAACGCTTCAACAAATAAGTTATTTAATGCAATAACTTAAAAGAGCTAAGAGTTTAAGAAATCGAATAGAAACCTTAATTATTCTCTAATACTTAGAAGAAATAATTGAAACTAAAACAATAATTCCAATGGAAAAAAATCAATATATAAGCCTCTTTACTGCTTATTATCAAAAAGTAGTATTATGAGTATATTATCTTTTTAAAATGATTGGAATAAAACAAATACTATAAACTAAATATATATCAGTTGGAATACTCTCTCATCTAAGCTGATCACAATACCACCACTCATACAAGAAGCTAGTATCATCGTAGGAGCTCAGATATTAGAGAAGGAAGTTATTAGTGATAGTCTTATTATGACGCATGATACTGCATCTAACATAATTGATGAATGGTAATCTTAATAATCATGATTCTCAACTTTCTACTATTTCTCTGATTTCTCTAATTTCACTAATTTCTTAGCAATATTTAATTTCACACATTTCTTTAATATCTTAAATATCTATTTCATATTGATATATTTTATATAAATATCTTGTATTTCTGTCTTAATAAATGGCAAAATCATTACCAATTCTCTAATAAATCAATAATATTTATCTTTAAAACTTATCTTTGCTCGTAAACTTAATTCATTCTTCTTTAAATCTATATCAATAAAGACGACCTGACCCTTCAATTTAATTATTCGTGTTTATTTCTTCCATAGTTTAGACGTACTTAAACTCCCTGCTAGCAAATAATCTTTGTTAACTTAACGACGAACAGTTTAAGCTTAACAACGGTGAAAATGGAAGTATTACATATTCAGTCATGTTTGCAAACCGAGAATCTACCGAGCAATCAACTATTGATGACAGTCCAAATTGTTCGAATATTGCAAATTTTGATGTTGCTTGTACATTTGTAATTCCTAATACTGGATTTGAAATGTAATATCAATAGATGCTAATGTAAAACGAACCTAATCAGATACTTTGTCTCTTATATAAATTTCATTTTTTAATTGATCTGTATGACTAGGTAGTTTATGAAATTTCAGTTAAGGTTCATTTTCATTTTATACAAATTATTTCTTTTTGACTTAGATTATGAAATTTTCTTGTTATAATATTTTTTTTTTTTATACAATTATTCATTAGATGATTAGATGATTAGAAAGATAATGAAAAATCACTATTCTATAATTATTTTTTAATTACATTACTTTTGCCTCATATATCCGAAACCTTTAATTTGGAAACACTATGTAGATCAAATTGGGTGAAACTATTCGCCCGAAACCCTGAAATATTAACTTTTGTTTAAATAAAGTTTGCCATTTTGAAATATCGTTAATAGCATAACATCGAAATAAATCGCATTTCACGTGAAAATCCTCTGACTTTTTTTTTAGATTTTGCGTTAAAGATCCGTTCTATTCTTTAGAATAGTTTTAGGAAGGCTAATTGAGAGAACAAAAACACTCTGTCGTATGAAGAATCCTATGTACTACAAAATGTTATTGGTCACGTAAATCTGTTGATTCTTTTGACTATAACGCACAGTTATATTATAAAAATTTCAATCATTGTTCATTATTTCTGGGATAACGGTCTCCGTTCTCTCCGTTTCAAATTATCATCTTTAAATTGTGTAACATGTTCCAAAATTTTGATTTATACTACAAAATATACATGCAATTTATAATTAGATCAACAATTTATATCCAGCTGTTAAATTAGAATTTAGCTGTGTTAATTTATTAGATTATAATTCGATTATTAAGTATAATATTTCCTGAAATTTTTCATATTAATATTTCTATATATAAAAAAAAAATTCAAAATATATGTTTACATTATTAACAGTGTAATGTAATTTGCAAATTTTATTATTATTTATATTATATTGTTATTATTATCCCTTTAGGAAGATATCAAATAAAATGTTTTATCTTTTTTTATAAAACTAATAAATCTCATGTACATAACTAAATATATTAATACGACATCAAATCAAGAAAATGCTAATTAGTAACGTTGTTTTTTATCGTCGTTCATTAATAAACAGACTTATACGTTGTAACCGGCCTAAAAATCCTTAACCGGCTAATAACTGTTGAAATATGCTTTAACAGGTGTCAATGCTACGATCCTGCGGTGTATATCAAAATTTCAAATCTTATTAATTTTCTTTTTCTGTTTTATTTATTATATCTGTTATATTAGTTTGACTTATTAAATTTATTATATCTGCTAGTATATTGAAATAACAATTTTGTATAAATAGTTTGGGAATTCAATCTAGTTATCAACAGAGAAAAATTAACGAGTTATAAGAGTTTCTCTCAAAGTCTTAGTTAGAATAATCTAGCTTGTAGTGACAAGCTTGGACAAACAGCTTAAGAAAAGGCTTGTAGATCTCTTAATATAATAAAGTTGTTGTTTATTTACTCTTTCAAACTTCTTCGTGTCCTTATAAAGTTCGGATGCGATAACAAACAACACTAATGAATCTTATTGATTAAATACTACATAAATTATACATCGGAGGAACTAAATTAAAAGTAAATTAGTGTTGTTGACTTGAGTGAGCAAGGAAATTCAGGTCAACACCTGATAGTCAGTCCGACTCAATTACCAGGTTTCTTCATTAAGTAGAAAATGATAGCTACGAAATAATGTACTGCGAAAGAATAAGAATGTTAGTTTGCCAATTTTGTCAAAATAAAAAGCAAACCGTGGAGATGTCACGTGAGATATTTACGTAATAATATTGCTTAACAGACTAAATTAGTAAGCCACACGAATTATTATTTGTTACAATTAGATTTCCATTATATTTTCATGATAAAGAGTATTGCTACAAACAGTTAGCGCGCTCAATTCGATAACTGATTAAATTATACATGTAAAACTTACGTTACATGAAATCATTTACTATATTCCAATTTTAAAAAATGTCCTAATGGATGGATGCGCATTAGGTTACTTGAGGTCGTTTTCTCAAAAAAATTCTTTTTAATTGAAGAAATTAGAATCGTTGAAAATCTAATTACGTTGACGTAGTTAATGAACTTCATATATTTGATGTTATAATAGATCTGCGCGAAAATTTTAATAGTGATATGCTAGTTTTAAAAATATGATTTTAATAATGGTATTCCGATATCTAGCGAATCCGTCTAAAAATACCTTTATTAAATTTATAAAGGAAAGAATAAAAAAATAAAAGAAATGAATTTGATTCAGGGCTGAATGGACTCAGGATATATATACTCTTTGCTTAAACATGATTATCCAGAACAACCTATTCATAAGAAAGATCTATATAACGTGATATATCAGTTTCACCAGAAAAACAATCCAGGAGACGCTGATTCTTTTCAGATGCTTCAGCAATTACTAGAATGGAAGGAATCTGATCCATTATAGATTGTTATATATCATAGCTTTAGTTGTAATTTTTCATAATAACATTTATAATAAAATTTTGATGACTTATTCGTGACCTATATAAAAGTTTTGTGTTTTAAAAATTTTTTTATTTGACCTCGCTTCCCCTTCTATTGTATAAAATATGATCTATTCTGTTACTTAAATCACTTTTGTCTTCACATTTCATTTCCCTTGTCATTGCAACAATAATTAGAATATTGGTTGCTCAGATGTAATTTATACACCATTTTTTTAGTTACATTCGCAACAATAGCAGTAGGAGTGCCTCTAGAGATTGTGATTATGAAAGCCATACTCAACCGAGACACGATAAAACGACGTTACCTGTATGTCCCCAACACCACACTGTTTACAAAGGTTCACTTTGTCTCTGTAGGACCACAATGATTGAAAGTGCTGTCAACCCATATAAAATATCAGGATTGTCAACCAGAAGAAATTTGTATTGGACATTATCACACCGTCGAAGATGATCTAGGAACACCACATGCAACTTGTAAGAATTATCCTCTTACAAAGTGAGATAATTTTGATAATCCCAAAGTGCCAGCTTGTTCAGAGATAACTAGATACAGTTCTCCTGCATACGATATCGAGATTTCAGTAATGGTCTATGCATCAGATGGAAAACGATACAAGTAGATCAGGTGATTGCATCTGAAAATGATAGTTTAATTGATCAGTCCACTCATAAGCACAACTACACTTAAAATTATCACTATAACTCTCAATTCCACGAACAAACTAACGAACTAATGCTACGAACTAATGCTAATCTTTCGTATTATTTTTTTATTTTAAATACGATAATATTTCTATAAAATATATAATTCAATATTGCATAATAAAGAAATTATTTAAAAAGTAAAATTTAATATCTTAAGGAGTCTCTTTTACGATATTCTTAGACTTATTTAGTAGTAATTTTCGCAATAAATTCATTTCTATAAGAAAAAATAAAACCACTTTATGATTTTGTAAAAAAAAATTTTAAAAAGGAAAGCCTATCTGGAGGTTGTAATTTCAAGAAAATTTTTTGTTATAAAACAAAAAGCCGAAATTTGCATTTAACTTCATGTTAAAAGAAATTTAAAAAGCCTATATTTTAAGGATTTTTAAAAAATGACTATATGAAAAAATATATTTTATTTTTTTTAGAAACCGAAAAATATTTACAACATTTCAAATATTATAAGAAATCATATCATTCACTTGTTTATTTTTTTAGTAATTCCAATTATCCCGCTTCTATTTAAAAAAAAAATAATATTGAAATATTTGTAATATTTATTTACCGCAAATCAGAGATATCATCAGGTAAATAAATAGGTTTATATTATTGGAAAATTGCAACATCCTGCATTTACATAAATAATTACACCCGAAATTAACGCATTCGCTTTAACAAAAAAATAGTACAACACATGAGACAGAAGTTGTTACCCTAATGGTAAATTTAATCCTTGTAATCCAAATTTAATAATGAAACAGACAAGAAGCTTTAAAAATTTAATACTAAATTTGTTTGTTTAATTTTTGTTGTTGTTATGTTAAAAGTTATTATTACATTCATCTTGTTTTTTTATCAACTAAATAAAACTTTAATAGTAGTACCAACCGAAAAAAATTCTGGAGTCGGCTCAGTTCAGTTTTAATCGACTGCCGTCGACTGAATGCAGCGTAATATTCCGTAGATTTACGATTTTCGTAATATTTCGTAAGTTATCGGCTAAAAATTTGAAACTTTATTTAATTAAGAATATATATCAAATTTGGAATAGCGACACGGGCACAGCCAGTCATTTGAAAATTCACTTGGTTTTTGCAGCCGTCGACACCGACACCAACGGCGGGTACTAGTCTTAGACTATAATTATACACTGTCTAAAAAACAACTTCCGTTCATCATATTAGAAATATGTAATCAGCTTTAATCTTGTCACTTATTTGTTGGAGCATCTGTTGTTTCTTTCCATATGTAGTATCGTATAATGTAAGAGCTGTAGAAATTAGAAATTGAATCAATACCTAAAAATTTTATACCTCCTATTTTCGTAGGGGGAAATAATAATATATTTCATGGTTATTAACGCCCATGATAAAAAATTATTTCAAAATAAGAGATCATGTGTTACTAACTTTATCAATAAATAAACTTTTAAATATGACTGATTTTTATTCACAAAAGGAGATATAAAATTCGATTACATTTATTTAAGACTTATTTATATTAGAAAATCAAGTGGCTGCTACTAAAAAAAAAGAGTGACTGAACATATGGGTGGTGTGCTATTAAAATTGAGATACAAAATATAGTAAATCATATGATCTATACTTCAATACCACCAATATAAATGATTTAACAAATGTCATTATTAGAATCATAATTTTAACACTATGTAATATTAAATAAATTCAATGATAAATAATTTCCAGTATGATTTTCCAATGATATATCCCAGTAATGATGAATCATTAATATTTTCCCAGAAAATTCAACTACAATAATAAATCCAGTAAAATATCGATGTGTAGTATCATGGGCGAATGATTAGTAAACGGGGAATATAAATGATTTATTTTATTAAACGATTGTAATGTACCGAATGTTCATATTGAACAATTAAATTAAAAATGAAAAAGGATTTACGAAGGGTAGAAAGAAAAGTTTATTAAATAAATAATAATAAAATACAATAAAAACATATATTACTACCTCTGTAATAGGTAGAAAATCTAATTCAATTATATACATTTAGAGATTCGATTTGATCAATCCAGAAATCTGATAAGCCATTTGTTGAAAAGGTGAATTGCGAATAGTTCGTAGATGGATGATCAGAATCCGATGAAAACTTTTTATTTTAATTATTTCTATGTAATATTATTTTCAGCAGCTTTACTATACCAATATTGAGCCTTTTCTAAATCATTTTCTATTCCATTACCATAATAATATAAATTTGCAAGATTATATTGTGCATATGCATGATTATTTTCGGCAGCTATTTGATACCAATAAAAAGAATTTTTTAAATTCTTTTCAATTCCTATACCATATTGATAGAATAATGCAAGATTATATTGTCCTTCTAAATTATTTAATTTAGCAGCTTTTTGATACCAATAAAAAGAATTTTTTAAATTCTTTTCAATTCCTTTACCATAATGATATAAATTTGCAAGATTACATTGAGCATCTGTATTATCATTTTCAG